AATAGATATCTGAAGCTCATTATTTTTTTCCCTACCAGGGGTGGGGAACCTGTGGCCTTGAAGCCACATGTGGCCCTCTAGGTCCTCAAGTTCAGCCCTTTGACTGAACATGTGGCCTTGAAGCCACATGTGGCCCTCTAGGTCCTCAAGTTCAGCCCTTTGACTGAACATGTGGCCTTGAGGCCACAGGTTCCCCACCCTGCACCCTCCTTCCTTCTTAACTTCCTCCCAGTCCCGTACTCTTGAAACCTAGATGTCATCCTTGATTCCTCACTCTGTCTCATCCCCCGTATCCAAGTTGTTGCCGAGGCTTTGTATCATCTCTTGAATATGCTTCCTTCTGTCTGACACGGCCACTTCTGGTGCCGGCCCTCACTGCCCGGATTATTGCAATAGCCTGCTGATGGGTGAGGCAGCTCAAGTGTTTCCCCACTCCATCCCATCCTCCACTCAGTTGCTGAAGTGGTGTTCCTAAAGTGCAAATCTGATCATGCCTCCTTTCTACCACATTCATACAGAAAACTCCAGTGGCTCCCTATTACCTCCCATATCAAATAGAAAATCCTCTGTTTGGGGGTCAGCATCCTTCCTGACCTCACCCCCACCCCTTTTCTTTCCTGTGTCCTGGCACACTCCTGCACCCGTGTACACTGTGATCAGGTGACCCTGGCTTCCTTGTTTTTCCTAGCCAGATGCTCCCTCCTCCAGATTGTGGACATTTTCACTGACTGCATTCCTGAAATGCACTCCCTCCTCATCTCTCCCCCTGGCCTTCTCTGGCTTCCTTCAAGTCCCAGCTAAAATCCCACCTTTTATAGGATGCCTTTCCCAACCTCCCTTAAGCCCTAATTCCCTCTGTTTATTATTTCCAATTTATCCTGTTTTTAGCTTATTTGTACACAGTTGTTTACAGGTTGTTTCTCCCAGTAGGCTGTGAGCTTCCTGAGAGCAGGGACTGGGTTTTGCCTTTCTTTTTATCCCCAGTGCTTAGCACTGTGCCTAGCACATAGTAAGTGCTTAGTAAATGTTTATTGACTGACTAACTAGTCTAGTATTGCTATTTTTAGAAAGACCCAGGGGCAGCTGGGTGGTGCAGTGTATAAAGCTGTGGCCTTGAAGTCAGGAGGACATGAGTTCAACTCTAGTCTCAGACACATGACACTTACTAGCTGTGTGACCCTGGGCAAGTCACTTAACCCTGATTGCCTCACCAAAAAGCAAAAAAAAAAAAAAAGAGACCCAAGCCATGCTTTGTAGACTTCTAAGACCCTGCAAAAGCTTTTGTCATGTCCAGGAAACCAGGTTTGTATTTTAGACTGTACAGAAAGTTGAGGTGGGTTAAAACTAATACAGATTATGCAGCCTCTTTGATCCCAGAACTGATCTGAGAATTCTGACAAAGTTCTTCTTTTTCTTGGGATGGGTCATGTAGATGGGATTGGGTTTTGCTTAGAGCCAGTCCCTGGTCATCTAGGATAGGAAGGCTCGTGGTTTAGTCTGCTGCTTCTATGTCTCCTTCTTCCACCCCTCCCTCTTACCCCAGCTGAAAAAAAGTGGATAGAGTAGGTTTCTTCTAGTCGTTGGGCAAGTATTCCACAGAAAAGCTCCCTGCCCTTTCCTTAAGGTGGGGGTTCAGTTTTAGGTTAGGGAAACCCCAGAGTCATCAGCCTAGCAAACCTAAAACACACATGCTTTCAAGTGATTGTATTGTTTGTAAACAGCCTGTTGGCAACACTTAGTGGCAAAAGGGACAGTTACATGTCACTTTGATTTTCTCCTGGTAGTTGGGTTAAATTAATTCTCTTATTTTTCTTTGTGTGTCTGCTGGGGGTCCCTTTGTACCTCATTCCTTTCTATGCCATTACCTTTTCTGTTTTAACCTTGTCCTTGTTGATTTTCTTTTTCTTTAAAAAACTGTTTTTGTTTCTTTTTTTCCCCTTTTACACTGATATGCCATAATTGATCAGCCATTCCCAAATGGTTGGACATCCATCATTATCATATAGTACTTTAAGTTTTGTAAAGCATTTTATAAAATATCTTATTTTGTCTTCATAACCCTAGGATGCTTTTATTATGCCCATTTTATAGATGAGGAAACTGAGGTTAATTGACTTACCCAGGGTCACCTAGCCACCTAGCTAGACATGTAAGTTTTTTCTATTTTTAAAAAATTTTAATATAGCAATTATAATTTTTTTTACAAGTTGTATTTTTTTTTTGGCTATCAAAAATCTTATTGATGCCTTTATTTTTCATTGTTTGCATTTCTAAATCTATCAATGGCACAGTGGTTAGAATCTATCCTCAGATACTTCCTAGCGGTGTGACCCTGGGCAAGTCACTCTGCCTCAGTTTCCTCAGCTATAAAATGGGGATAATAATAGCACTCCTCCCTTCCTCCCAGCCTCGAGTCATTGTCAAATGAGACAATATTTATTAAGTACTTAGTGCAGTGACTGGCACATGGTAGACATTTAATAAATTCGTGTTCTCACTCCCTTCCTCCACCCAACAAGTCATCTTTTGTAACAATGAACACAAAAAGAAAGAAAAAATACCATCTCAGCAAAGCTAATCAGGATATAAAACGTTTGACAGTATGTGCAATGTTCCATATTCGTAGTCTCTCCGCTTTGCAAAGGAAGGGCATTGCCTCTTCTCTCCTGGTCATTATAATTATAAATTATTCAGTCTAATTCCCCACCCCATTCTCCCCCCTTTTGCTTTGCCTTAGTCGTGGTGTACATCGTTTTCCTCGTTCTGCTTACTTCATTCTACATCAGTTCAAATAAGGACTCTCTCACAACTGTACTGGTAAAGAGCAGGTTCCCTCGGGTTTAGTCAAATAGGAAGTGGGGAGCAGGAACAGAGCGATCAGGTTACTTTGGGTGAGGCTTTCTGGGCCAGAGTCACAGCCTTCCTCTCCAGTGTGAGCTATGCACTTTCAAATCCTATTTCTTCTAACCCCTTTTCTGATAATCTATTCATAACACCCAAATATTTGGCTCTTGAACATGGGCCAGTAAGAACAGGGTGGTTCTTTGTTTAAAAGCTGAAGCCCACACATGCCTTTTGAGCAGGTGTAAATGATTATTTTTTTACTTGTCCCACTAAAAGTATTTTCTTTTGATGGGAAACCACTGGCGTGGATTGGGCTGTGAGCCCCATGAGGCTTGTCCGCTTCACCAAAGGGCCCTTTTGCCAGTGTGTTGTTGGCTTAGCTCCCTTGATTGTCAGGAATGTTCAAGCCTAAAGTTTAAATGGAAAAATGTGTGGCCCTCTGGATTTGCAGGAAATGTCACTGTATGAATGTATGTGTGTGTTCATGTACACAACACACACATGCATGTGCACGCATGTACCTGCTTTGCGGCTGAATAAGTCAACAGTGAGACGAAGCAAAACCAGTTGGACTAGTTAAGCAAAAATAAATAAAATGCAGATAAGGTCAGATATCAACCTCATTCAGCTTCATTTATATTTAGCCTTTTGAACAAAAACTAAGCAAGATTACAGAGAAGGAATTGAGCTTGTTTTCTTTCAACTGTCAGTAAATTCTCCCTACTCAAGAACTCACATTGACTCTCCATTGCCTAATCAGTTCAAGTTGAAAGCCTTCTATAATCTGGCCTGTTTTGCATATTCAACCTTGTTTCTATTACTGCTCTATAGGTACCATCTACTCGAACCACTTCAGTTTCCTCACTGTCCCACTTCCCCCCACACCATGCTCCTCCTGAACTTTATACTTTTGCTTATGCTATTACATAAGCCAGAGATGTTTTTCTTCTACATCTCTGTGTGTCAAATCTGACTCTTCCTTTCAGTCCTCACTCAAGACTGACCAGCCTGTGAAATCTTCCCTGTCTATTCCACCCCACAGTGGTCACTTCCTCCTCTGACCTCCTATGGTATTTATTCATGCCTGTATAACTCAGTTATCACTTAATGTACTGTATTGTTCTCAAATTGTTTTATGTGTAGGCCTTATTTAGGCAGGAACCACTTCTTACATTTCTATTCTTATATTTAATAGTACTTAATGTATAGGAGGCATTTAGACTAACTGAAATGTAGCACCAAGAGATCACAAGAATGGTCCTGAGGGCCTTTTTGAACACTGAATGCTATCTTGTGGTAGATTGGATATACCCAAATACAATTTGATGCTTAGAGTATGTGGATGCACATATATATGTATATGTGTGTGTGTGTGTGTGTGTCTGTGTCCATCTATATGTGTTTTGAACTGTGATGTTCTGTCTTCTGAATTCCTGCTCATCTGGTTCTGAGTTTTCTATTTTTCTACATTTCTGACTGTGCAGGAATAAACAGGGCAGACAAATGAGAAGTTAAAACCAGGGGGATATTTTTAACCATTTGCCTTCATTTTTATAGCAGATTTGTGTTGATGGGATTACTATCATGTGTTTCACTGTGTGTGCATTGGGGTTTAAGGGACTTCAACAAATTTGGATCACATTCACCACTTTGCATTTCTTGTCTTTAAACAAGTAGAAATTGTCCTAAATTTGAAAACCATGTGCTTGGAATATGGGGTTATGGCTAAAATCTGAAGGCTTGCTAATGTTAAGATAACTTGATATATCTTAATATTAGCCGGGGGATAAATTTTGCAAAGAATGTATAGAAATTTGCAGCATTGTTATCAATGCATTTTTTCTTTTTTTTTGGAGGGGGGAGTTTATCTTTTTTAAAAAATCAACTTAACTTTTTTTCATTACCAATACATTCTCATCAATAATGAACAGCAATTGTTAGTTCTTCAAGAATATAATTAAGCTTCTCTAAGCTCAGTTTATGAATATATTCTCATTATTCATTTTTCAGAAGGTTTATCATTAGCCAGACTTGCCTGGGTGACTTGGTTTCATGTTGACTGAAACATCAGCTGTACATTAAAAAAATGAGCTGAAAAGGCATTTGGAATGTGTTTGCCCCTTTGCTATGGTTGACTGTATTGTCTTCCTCTATAGGTTTTTGAAGCTGTGATTTCCTGGATAAATTATGAGAAGGGAACCCGCTTGGAACACATGGCTAAGCTGATGGAACACGTCCGTCTCCCTCTCTTACCACGGGACTATCTGGTCCAGGTCAGTAAGCCGTGAGGAGCAAACTGCCCACTTGTTGCCAGAGTTTGCTGTAACAGAAAACTGTTATGTGTCACCTTGGACGAGTCTTTTAACTTTTCCTGACCTTATTTTCCTCATCGGAAAAATGAGGAGTTTGGACCAAATGCCCTTAAAGGCCCCTTCCAGCTTTCAGTGCTGTTCTCCTAAGAGCCATAGGCACACCTTTCCCACTGAGTTAAGCCATGAAACAGAAAGATGAATCAGCTGAGATGAAAACACTTCCCTGCCTGTTAAATGAGCAGACCAGTTGTCATTCTGCACAGTAAGGGTCAAAATGGGAGTCCTTTAGTTCCAAATTTGATGGAAAAATAATGATTAGGGATGGAAAGGGGGTTTATAAAAATGGTTTGAAGTTAGAGGTAGAAGTGATCTGAGAGTTTAATTCCACCTTTTCATTTTATAGATTAGGATATAGAGCCTCAGACATAAGATAATTGATTTGCCCAAGGTCACATAGCCAATTAATAGTGAGCCAGAACTAGAACCCACATCTGTTGGCTCCTACTCTAATATTCTTTCTATTACATCATTCGTTTTCACTGTAGTATACTGAGTTTCTCGGGGTGAATTTGAATATTTAGAATCAAGGAAAGCTTTATAGGAAGCAAAGTAAAATTTTGGGAAGAATGGAGGCCTTCTCAGTGTTGGGGAGCTTGGAATGTTGTTTTAAAAAGCCGCAGTGGCCATCGTGTGTCACTATAGCTAAGATAAAGTTCAAAATAGGAATTAGAAATGAAGGGAAGCCCTGTTGTCATATGTTGGTTAGGATTGGTAATTGGTATGTCCACATCAAGTGTTAAGTCAAATGAAAGTCAATTTGCACTTTGGTGAGAGTTAGGAGTGTCTAGGAGCTATAAGAGATATCCTAGAATGATTTCCCATCCCTGTTGTCTCAGTCAGGAGTGGCCAGATAAGCACTGATTAGTAGTGCAGGGGTTTCATAGAGTCCTTCTGTGCTCCCCCCCCCCATTTCTTCCCTCCTAGGGTAGGGGCCAGCAGCTTCCAAGAGACTCTATTCTGCATTGGCCAGGGCTGCTGCTGGAGATGATGACAAAGAAGCTGGGCATTTTTCATCTCTGGGGCTTCTTTCCTTGGAGAAAATTTCCTGAAATGTTCAGCTTCCTTTGAATGATGAATTTTCTCCTTCACGTTGGTAGACAGGACCCGTTACTGGGTCAGTTAAGAAAAAATGGGTGAAGTACTTTGAAATGTTGGAGAAGGAAAAACTGGAAAGTAATTTGTCTGAAATTAGATTTATAATAACTTACGCTATATATTACAATAAGCTCAGAATTGATATTCAATTGAATATAAAAAGTCACAGCATTAATTAAAAGAGAACAAGTTCATGTACTTTTCATACATATGGCTGAGAGAATTCTTAATCAAACAAGGGAGAAAGGCAATCATAAAATATAAAATAGGTAATTTTGATTATATGAGATTGGAGGCATCTCTAATGTGATATATGCACAATAGAACTCTTCTTTCCTCCCCAATCCCAAATCTTCTGAATTTCTCTGTTACTGTAGAGGGCACCACTGTCCTCCCAATCACCTAGGTTCAAACCTTGGTATTATACTAGAATCTTAACTCCCACCACCCCAGATGTGCAAATATTTGCCAAATATTGTCATTTCTACCTCCACAAAATCTTTCCTGTACAGTCCCTTCTTTCCACTCACACAGCAACCCTTCTAGTTCAGGTGTCTGTCATCTCTCACTTGGACTCTTGTAATAGCTTTTATTTATTCTTCTGGCCGCAAGTGTCTCCCCATTCTGATCTATCTTCCACACATCTGCCAAAGTGACTTTCCTAAAGCTCTGGTCCATTTTGTTAAACTCTAACAGCTCCCTGCTACCTCTAGGATAAAATATAAATTCTTCTGTTTGGTTCTTAAAATTTTTCATACACCTGGCCTCTCCCTATCTTTTTCAGTCTTCTTAGCCATTGCTGTCCTCCATTGTTGTCTATGATCCATTAATACTTTTCTTTTTTCACACATGGTGCTCCATTTCCCATCTCCATACCTTTGTACTGGCTGTCTCCCATACTGACACTGTTCTTCCTCCTCACCTTTGCTTCTTCAAATCCCTGGTTTCCTTCAAAAGTGAGTTCAAGAGCCACCTTCTATATGAAGCCTTTTCTGATGCTCCTAGAATCTAGTGCCCCCCCAATTACGTTCTATTCATTTGTACGTAGTCTAAATATACTCATATACACATAAACACATATTGTCTCCCCTAATAGAATGTAAGTTCCTCGAGGACAGAGACTATTTTACTTTTGTCTTTGCATCTAATGAATAATTATTGATTGATTGAAGAAGGGAAAGCATTGATTGAGGGAAAAAATCTTTTGCATCAAGTATCTCTGATAATAGTCACATCTAAGATATATAGAGAATTAAAATAAATATATAAGACCAAGAGTCATTGCTCCATGGATAAGTAGTCAGAGGATATGAATACACAGCTCTCAAAAGAAGAATTACAAACTATTAACCACACAAAAATAATAATAAGAGGAATGCAAATCAAAACAACTCTGGAGTTTCACCTCTCACCACCCAAATTTGTAAAAGTGTCAAAAGATGGGTGATGTCCATGATGTCCATCATGAAGTCCATGATGGAGGGGCTTCAGGAAGATAAGAACATTCCACTATTGGGGGAATTGTGAATTTATTCTGGAAAGTAATTTAGAATTATGTTTAAAAAATTCATTTAGCTGTTGGAGAAGATGTGGGAAAATTGGGACACTAATGCTTTGTTGGTGGAATTGTGAACTGATCCAACCATTCTGGAGAGTAATTTGGAACTATGCCCAACGGTCTATAAAATTTCATATCCTTTGACCCAGCAATACCACTTCTAGGTCTGAATCCCAAAGAGGTCATAAAAAAGGGAGAAGGACCTACATGTACAAAAATATTTATAACAGCTCTTTTTGTGGTGGCAAAGAATTGGAAATTGAGGGAATGCCCATCAATTGGGAAAGGCCAAGGAATATATGAATGTAATGGAATACTATTGTTCCATAAGAAATGATGAGCAGGTGGATTTCAGAAAAACCTGGAAAGACTTACATGAATGATGCTGAGTAAAGTGAGCAGAACCAGGAGAACATTGTACATAGTAACAGTAATATTGTGTGATGACCATATATGGTTGACTTAGCTCTTCTCAGCAATACAATGATCCAAGACAATTCCAAAAGACTCATAATAGAAAATGCTATCCATATCCAACTATGGAGTCTGAATGCAGATGGAAGCATACTATTTTCACTTTTCTTGTAGCTTTACCCTCTTGTTCTGTTTCTTCTTTCACAACATGACTAGTGTGGAAATCTGTTTACGTGGTTGCACATATCGGAATGCTTGGTGTCTTGGGGAGGAGAGATGAGAGGGAGGGAGGGAGAAAAAATTGAAACTCAACATCTTATGAAAAATGAATGTTGAAAACTATCTGTATGTGTAATTGGAAGAAATAGAATACTGTTTACAAAAAAAGAAATTAATTTAGCATAGGTGAAAATGCCCATATTTTTGTGTCTATATCTCTAGCAGAGATCCTACTGCTAAACATCTATACTCAGTGGGTCAAAAAAGAAGGAAGGAGCTATTACACACCAAAATATTTATAGCAATACTTTTTTGTGGTCACAGAATTGGAAACAAAAGATACCCATCAACTGGGGAATAGCTAAACAAATCATGGTACATGAATATAATGGAATACTATTTTGCTGTAAGAAATGGCAAATATGAAGAATTGGGAGAAACAGTTGTATGAATTGTTGCAGAATGAAGTAAAGTAGAACAAGAAAAACAATGTACACGATAACTCCAGCAATATAAATGGAAAGAAAAGCAACCACAACAAAAATAAACTGAGCATTGTATAATCATAATGACTAAGTTTGGCCCCACAAAATAAATGAGAAAATGCATCTCCCTCCCTTGTTGGCAGAGAGGTGGGAGGCCTCTGGGTGTGTATGTACTGTCGGATTCTGTGGCTAACTTAATTTTGATGAAATCCTTTCTTCCCCTCCCCTCTTTCTATTTTTTTTCTTTGTTATAAGGTATGGCTTGTTTGTGGGGGAGGTGGAAGGGATATATTCAGAAATTAAGGTGATATAACAATAAAATCTATCAATGAAAATAAGGTTAAAGAAAGAAAGAAAAAGAAAGACTTGGGAGGAAGGTACAGCAAGCGTAGGATATAACCTTTTTTTTTTCCCCAAAGAAATCAATTCTGTTTTAATTCAGAGTTTCCTGAAATGATAGATTCATATCATCAGCCCCCAATCCTATTATGCAGTTTCCTTTTCTTCCTCTCTGTCTCTGCTTGTATCTTACTTTGATGGCCTTCATTGCAGAGAAGGGTCTCCACTCTGTGTGTTAAGGAAAGGGTACTTAAGAGAGAAAAATAATTCTTCATGATAAACTTGGAAGCTATCCTTGACTTTTCTGATCTAAACTCAAATTTTCCAAGTGACCCAGTGGTAATTTTCCAGTTTTTTTGTTGAATTTCTGTAGGGTGCATGATATCTTGACATATCTAGCACTGCCTCAGCTCTCAGGAATTGACAGGCTGAGGTTGCAGGATGCCCACGCCTGATCTATGGTTTCTGTGTCTGGGTTATTGTGACATTTGCCTTGGTCAAAACTGTACCTGTAAGAATGCAGTCTTCACTCTCTCCTCCCCTTAGGTACTTTCCTCACAGTACAGATAGGCTGCTACTAATAGCTTTATTTTGCTCACTACAAGGTAGAGACTTGTTTTTGTCTGAGCTGAGGAGTTTTCAACTCCCTGACCAGCAGTGCCTTCATTTTGAAGTGTTTGTATCTGATTATTAGGATAAGTTTTCACCAGCTCTTCTTCAGAGAGAATTCACTTTGGCTTTTCTTGTTATTTCCATGTACTTCTGTCTATCCACTTACCTCTCTTGTCTGTTCATCTCTCCATTTATCTATCTGCCTGTCTGCCCAGGGTATATAAAGTGTTCAGGGAGGAGTCTCACCTCTGGTGGGATGGCTTGCTGAGCCCTTTTCAGGGCTTCTTAGACACTTTTGGTGTCCACCTATCACCCAGCTCTCATCTGTGGCTCCAGGAAGCTGTAGCATGCGCAGTGGCCACACCCCAGTAAAACCTTCTTAGCAAAGGGCTAAACCAGGTTGAAGGCAAACAACAGACCTCAAACCTTTTGAGTTAGGGGGATGTCACCCCAAGCATGTGAAGACTTCCCTTTGTAGAATGGGCAGATGAGAACAATTTATTCCAATGGCCATGAAGGAGGCTAAAGCAGGCGCTTCAGAAACACGAGATGAACAATAACCGTTCCACCTGTCCATCTCTCTCGCTCTTGCTCTCTTCCTTTCATACTTTTTTATACCCATTATATTTATATTTATGCCATTTATACCCTTTCAACTTTCAAGAGGACTTGTGGAAACTTACAGTACAAAATAAGATATGTTAGGGATGAAACAGAACAGAAACTTTCAATAGGAAGCAAGCAGTAGTTGTTACTAGGTACCTGAAGTTAGCAAGTTACCATGGCCATAGCTGGCCACTAAATTTTACTGAAATGTCTAGTAGCTAGGGCAAAAGGGGCATGGATTGTGTCCAAGGTTGTCAGTTTCTAATGAAAGAAAGCAGAGACCTTTATGTACAGAGATAATATATTTTTTTCAAATGTCATGTTGATGACTTCCGCTCCTGGGAGCCAAGATGGTGGAGTATAAAGGTAGTCACTCTCACCCTTCCCTATCAACTTCTGAAAACCCAGAAAATATCACCCCAGAAAAAAAAAATCCTGAAACAGCTGAACTAGAAGAAAGATGGAGAGCAGCAGTGCAGCAGCCCAGCAAACGGGTCTCCCAGTGCCTCAGCAAAAATAAGGGAAGCAGCACTACAAAGGGCCCCCGGTGGATAAGCACCCTGCGGCATTCATCTGAAAGGAGCTGAAGAAAGCAACTTAGAGTCTTCCTAAAGTCCTGGCCTTGCTGATTCCAACCCAACACCAGGTAAGCTGTCAGAACCCTACAGCCTCCAACTGTCAGCCAGGAGGAGATCCTGAAGCCCAGGTGGTAGAGCAGGCAAACACCAACACCTGGACCTCCCAGTGCCTCAGTGAGGGTGGGGGAACTGGTGGAAACCAGCTCAGAAAGCCACCAGGGGCCTCGGTACTCTACCACAAAGGAATCTCCCAGTGCATTAGCAGAAATGAGCGAGGCAGCATTGCAAGGGGCCCCAGAAAGATAAACACCCTGCAGCACTCATCTAAAAGGAGCTGAAGAAAGCTAAGGAAAGGAAAAGCAGGCAACCTAGAATTGCCTGAAAGTTCCAGCCTTGCTGATTCCAGCCCAACATGAGGTAAGCTGCCAAAACCCTACAGCCTCCAATTGCCAACATAAGAGGCCCCAGCACACAAAGCCAGTGACCAAGACCTAGGCTCCCAACACAAGAAGCTTGGGTCAGTGCCCTCTGTTCCCAGCAGGAGAGCTCAATCTCTTTAAAGGCCCAGGAATAAAGAAACCATGAGTAAAAGAAACGTACCATAGATTCATATTATGAGAAGAGTGAAGATCAAGATAGAAATTCTGAAAAGGACAACATTGTCAACATACCCACATCTGCAACATCGAAAGGGAATATGAAGTGGTCTGAAGCCCAAAAAGCCTTCTTAGAAGAGCTCAAGAAGGCTTTTAAAAGTCTAGTGAGAGAGGTAGAAGTGTCCTTAAAAAATACAGTTGGCCAATTGGAAAAAAAGTACACTGAAGAAAACAAGTCCCTAAAAAACACATTGGCAAACTGGAAAAAAAGTACACTGAAGAAAACAAATCCCTTAAAAATATAATTGGCCAATTGGAGAAGGAAGTACAAAAGCTAACAGAAGAAAACAATCTGTTAAAAACTAGAATTGGACAAATGGAAACTAATGACTCTATGAAAGAGCAAGAATCAGTCAAACAGAAACAAAAAAATGAAAAAATAGATGAAAACGTAAAATACCTCATTGGTAAAACAACAACTGACCTGGAAAATTGATCCAGGAGAGACAACTTAAAAGTTATTGGACTACCTGAAAATCATGATGAAAAAAGAGTCTGCACAGTATCTTTCAGGAAATCATAAAGGAAAACTGCCCTGAAGTCCTAGAACCAGAACGGAAAATAACCATAGAAAGAATACACTGCTCACCACCTGAAAGAGATCCCAAATTGACAATGCCAAGGAATATAATAGCAAAATTCCAAAATTACCAGATGAAAGAGAAGGTGCTGCAAGCAGCCAGAAAGAAACAATTTAAATATCATGGAACCACAGTCAGGATTACACAGGACCTTGCAGCTTCTACATTAAAAGACCGCAGGGTGGAACATGATATTCCATAAGGCAAAGGAGCTTGGATTGCAGCCAAGGATCAACTACCCAGCAAAAATGAGCATGATTTTTCAAGGGAGGAGATGGATATTCAATGAAATAGGGGACTTCCAAACCTTCCTGATAAAAAGACCAGAGCTCAACAAAAAATTTGATCTTCAAGTACAAGATTCAAGAAAGACATAAAAAGGTAAATGGGACAGAAAGATACAATATGTTGTTAATAAGGGTGGACTGTTTACATCCCTACAAGGGAAGATGACACTTGCAACTCTTGAGAACTGTGTTATTATTACACCATGTTAAAGGAGTATACATAAAGGGGGTGGATATTAGTTGACTTTGATGTAATGATAAAAAAAAATCTAATCAAGTGGGTTAAATGGATCCAAGTAAGTGGATTAGTCTGATTTTAGAAAATGTACTGAGAAAGGAGGAGGCAGACAAGGGTAAATTACACTACAGGAAAAGACAGAAAATCCTATTACAGTAGAGGGAAAGAAGGGAGGGGGGTGAGCATTGTTTGAACCTTGCTCTTATCAGATTTGACTCAGGAAGGGAATAACATAATCAGTTAGGTATAGAAATCTAACTTGTACTATAGGCAGTAGGAGAGAAAAGGGGAAAGAAAAGGGAGGGGGGATAGAAGGGAGGGAAGAAGCAGTAAGACTAAAGGGGAAGAAAAGGGAAAGGGATAATAGAAGGGAGGAGAGACCGAAGGAGGTGGTCAAAAAATATGTTTAATAGGAATGTAAATGTATAGCCTATATCAGATTGTGTGCCGTCTTGGGGAGGGTGGTGGGGAGGAAAGGGGAGAAAAATTTTAAACTCAAAAGCATATGGAAATGATTGTTGATAAATCAAAATAAATTAATAAAATAAATTTTTAAAAAAGTCTTGTTGATGCCTTTTGTTTTTTCATTGCAGACATTTCCTCCCGTAGTCCTCCCCCAAGCACTCACTCCCTTTTATCTCTAGTAATATAAAAAAATGTTTAAACAAAAACAAGTGACCCAGCCGGCATGTGTGACAGCGTAGGTGATACTTTATGTGCTAAGTCTCCACCTTCCCACGCTAGGAGAGTTGTATCATTTATCATCTATTCTCTCGGACCCAGCCTGGTCTTTGCATTTAATCTACATAATCTTCAAGTGTTGCTACACATTGCTGTGATCATTGTATTTATTGTTCTCCTGGTTCAGCTTGCTTCACTTTATATCCATTCACAAAAGTTAGAGAAAATATGCTTCCTGGAATTAAACTCGAGGTGGAATTTATTTCCTGGGTCCTTTTAAAAGGACGCTGAATAGCAGAGTGAATAATTTTTTCAAATACTGTTTTTCAAAAGATCCAGAAATTCTTTACAAATAAAAGGAACTTCATATCTGAACCCTTTGAAAACTTCTCAGCAAATTATACCTCAATGAAAAAATGTCACTGAGGGGGCTGAGATCATATTTATTAAGTACCCACTTTGTATTTGTCCCTATGCCACATGCAAGGGATGATTGCAAAAACAAAAGTGGAAGCAGTCCCTGCCCTGAAAGAGCTTATTGCCTAACTAGGAGAGAAACTACATGTGCATATATATGTAGATAGAGACAGTGTAAGCATTGTATGAATGAATGCTGTTTAATGCAAGTATTGAACTGCTGCAGCCTGACTTGTGTGTTGCTACCTCTAGACAGTTGAAGAAGAAGCTTTGATAAAGAACAACAATACATGTAAAGATTTTCTTATTGAAGCTATGAAGTACCACTTGCTGCCTTTGGATCAAAGGCTGTTGATAAAAAACCCAAGGACTAAGCCAAGGACTCCAGTCAGCCTGCCCAAGGTAAGAGCCTGCTCATTTCCGTTGAGAACCACTCTTGTTCTGTGCTATCATCTCCAGGTCCAGGAGTGTAACTCCCAACCTCTATGTGGTCAGCTACCCATGATTTTGATGCCTTTGGGGCTGACGAGGTTAGACGAGCCTGAAAGGTTAGGAGGCTGCGGAGTTTGAAATAGGAAAGTAAGAGCTATGAGTGCCTAGCAAATCAGTGTGAATAATGATGATGATGATGACAGTGATGAGGATAGCTGACATTTCTATAATTCTTCAAAAGCTGTAAGGTGCTTTTAATGTGTTATCTCATTTGAACCCCGCAGCTACCCTGTATGGTAGGCACAGTGGTATTCTTATTACCATTATACAGGTGAGGAAATTGAGACCCAGAAAAATAGTCACATAGCTGGTATTAGAGGTGGTGTTTGAATCTGGTTCTTTCTGACTCTCAAATCCAGAAGTTTATTCACTATACCACATTGTCGTAGCTTAAATGGATGATCATAGAATTGCATATTTTGCGCTAGTCGGGCCTTAGAAGTAATCTAGTATAATCCTCCCATTTTACAGATGAAGAAATGGAGGCCTAGAGAGGTAAAGTCACTTACGATCACTTAGGTAATAAGTGGGTCTTCTACCTCCAAATCCAGTATTCTTTTCTACTGTGCCATGCTGTCTTAGATCCTGTTGTAAGCAATGTGTTTTATAAATCTTAAGTTACTATGTACACGCGAGCTTTTATGATTAATACAATTATTATTTCAATCAAGGCTGAAATGGAAATAGTTATACAGATGCTGCTTTTTCTAGTCTGCAGATTAGCTCGAATTCTTCCCTCTGGCTACTGTCTTCTGGTCATTTTATTGCTCATTATCATCTCTACTTGGAAAATAGAAGATGAGGCAATTCATACAAGGTCTTTTACTCCTTGTCTGCAGGCCGGGGCAAAGGTTTTGTGTCTAAAAGGAGACATTTTGATTCCCTGTGGATTGTAGGGATCTTTCCCAAAGCCTTGAACCAGGATAATTAAAAGTGGGTGGTGTCAGGATGATAAGATAAGTTCAAATTCAAATTCCTCTTTAATACTGGCCAAAACTATATGTGGGCTCACCCAGACCACTTTGTGTCCATGCTCACTTTTTTTTTGAATGATATTTTGTTTTTATACCACTTTTATTTCTAAATATATCTCTCCCAAATTCCTGTCCTGCAAACCATCTCTTGCAACAAAGAATTAAAGAGAAGCATTCCTGGTGAATTATCGCCACACTTTCTCCTGTCTTCTTATCTTCTAGCTCCTACCTTGCTACCTACAAACACACCCATGGGGACCCTCCCTCAGCCTCAACCCTTGCTTCATCCTACCCTCCCCATTAGCTGTTCTGTTTTATTTCCTGCCAAGAAAGAAAGGAGCTCCTTGAGAACGTCATCTGGTCATCTGCAGTTTGTGCCTCCACTTCCCCTTCTGTCATTCTCTTCTTAACTCCCTGAAGTCTGGCTTCCTATCTCATCATTCCACTGACACTGCTCTCTCCAAAGTTACCAGTAATTTCTTGCTTGCCTAACTTAATGATCTTTTCTCAGTCTTCATCCTTCTTATCTCTTGGAAACATTTGAAATTTGGTCACCTTCTCCTCTTAATCTGTCTTCAGTAGGTTTTCATGACACTGTTCCCTTCTGGTTTTCTTAGTGTCTGACTGACTGTTCCTTCTCAGTCTCCTTTTCATCCATGTCATGTTCACTGCCTGTGGGTATTCCTCAGGGCCCTATCCTAAAGCCTCTTCTATTGTCCCTCTCTGTTTGTCTTGTGTGGTTGTTCAGTCATTTTTCAGTCATATCTGCCTCTTTATGACCCTATTTGATTTTTTTTTTGGCAAAGATCCTGGAGTGGTTTGTCATTTCCTTCTCCAGATCATTTTACAGATGAGGAAACTGAGGCAACAGAGTTAAGTGACATGCTCAGGGTCACACAGCTAGTAACTATCTGAGGCCATTTGAACTCAGGAAAATGAGTCTTCTAGACTCTAGGCCTGGCACTCTATCCATTGCACCACCTACCTGCCCTTACACTATCTTACTTGGTGATCTTATCAGTTCCGTGAGATCAGTTATCATCTTTATGCTGATGATTCCTATATCTCTATATCTAGGACTAGTTTCTCTTCCCAACTCCAGTCTTGCATCACCAACTGCTTTTTGCACATCTCAAATTGGATACAGAGCTCATTACTTTTCCCCTATGCTTTCTTTTGTTCCCAATTTCTCTATTATAGCTGAGGGCACCACCATCATCCCAGTTAACCTGGCTCAGTGTGTGTCATTCTTAACTCCTTACTTAAATGTCTTTTCTGTCTTCACAACATCTGTTGTACATGCCCTCTTCTCTCCACTCACACAGGCATCACCTTAGTTAAGGCCCTTATCACCTCTTACCCAAAATATTGCAATAGCCTTCTGACTGATTTCCCTGCCTCAAGCCCCTTCCCCATTCCATTCCATCCTCCACTCAGCCGCCATGGTGATTTTTCTAAACTGACCGTGTCAGGCTGCTTGTTACTCTATGGACGTGGAAAGCCTCCTACCAGGCATGCTGCAATGCACTTCCTCAAAGATAACACTCCCTCTCCTGTCTCTACGTTTTCATTGGCTGTTCCTCATGCCTAGAATGCTCTATCCTATTATCTCTGCCTTTTGCTTTCCTTAACTTCCTTCAAAATTCAGCTCAAATACCAGCTATTCTGGAAAGCCTTTCTGGGTCCTGCCAAATGCTAATAATGTATTTCCCCCTTAGATTACCTTCAGTTTCCTCTGTATCTATCTTGTACGTACATGTTGTCTTCTTCATTGGTAGCCCTTTGGGGCAAGGATGATGTTTTTGCTTTGCTTTGTATCATCAACATTTATCAGAGTGCCTGGTACATGCCAAGCACTTATAAAATGCTTCTTGTTATTAGGGGGAAAAAGTCAGTTGAACCAAGCTTAACATCTCAGCTAAATCTGACAATGTATGTAGTGCTTTACATTTACAACCCACAACCTCTCAAGGAAGGGAGGGAAATAGATTTTCTCACTTTTCATCTCCTTACACTTACTTTTTTATTTTTTTCCTTGCACTTAATAGTATTTTTCCAATTACATATAAAGATAGTTTTCAGCATTCATTTTTGTAAGACTTTGAGTTCCACTTTTTTCTCTCTCCCTCTCTTCCCTCCCTTTCCCCAAGACCACAAGTAACCTGATATTGGTTATACAGGTACCATCATGTTAAACATATTTCCACATTAGTCATGTTGTGAAAGAAGAATCAGAACAAAAGGAAAAAAAAAACTACGAAAAGGAAAAAAACAAAAAAAAGTGAAAAATAGTATGCTTTGATCAGCATTCAGACTCCATAGCTCTTTCTCTGGATGTCTGCCTACCCTTACTTTTGAAAACCTGTGATTACACATCTTTGAGAGTCAGCATGATTCAGTGGAAAGAATGACTGGAGTCTGGAACCTCAGTTTGAATCCAGCTTCAGCACTTCCTTGCTGTGTAAACCATGGACAAAACATTGATTCTCTTTAAGTCTCAGTTTTCTTATCTGTGAGATGGGATAATTATATTGGCACTACCAACATTGTAATTGTTGTGGGGAAAAACATTTTGAAAGCTTTAAATATAATAATGTAAACTATACATAACACAAATAGGAACAACATTATTTATCCATCTGCTACTTTGTGTTACTGAATTAGTCTCTACTTAGGCAAGAAAGTTGAGTGTTCTGATCTCTGGCTCTATCCATGGCCCAGAACCAGGCTGAGGTTCTCCAGTTTGGCTGAGCTGTAATTGTCCTAACCTCATTCTGCCCCTCAGGTACATGGTCTTTGTTGCTCTGGACATTCAGACTTATCTGCATGTATGAAAGACAAACATCAAGTTTGAAGAATAATGAGGATGTTTTCTTTCATCCTTCTGAAAATATTCCTCTTCCTTGCATGTGCTTGGTTAAAGGACTCAGAAAGTAGATTTTATTGATTATGGAGCTGGTGTTGGGTGTACGGGGAAGCTCATTCATCACTTCCTCCCTTGACCAGTCTCTGTATCCAGTTCCTGTCAAAAGAAACATTTTAAATCAAAGCCCAATTTGTGTTCATGCTTTGACTGAATACTTTGAGAATCCCTTATGGGTACCAGCATTACAGTTGAGAAAGAGCTTATTGACTAATTTCTGCTAAGGTCAGCCTTTCTACTTTTCCTTTTTTTAAGAAGCAGATTTTTCTTTCCTTTCTTTTCTTTTTTTAAAAAAATTCTTGGCTCTCTTGCAACCTGTAGGGATCTGTGGCTGTCTCCATGAAGGATTTAAAATACAATGACATCCTAGCTATTCTGCTTTGTTGCACTCCTGACTTTGACCTTAAAATGAATTGATTTGGGGTCTCTTAACTTGTTTCCCAAAAATGGTCTTATTTTCCATTGCTCAGACAAAAAGTTAGTACTAATACTAATGGAGTGCTTTGGCCTAATAGTTCAAGTACTTTGCTCCAGTAAAGAAAGAACCAACCTTGCATTCCTGGTATAAATCCAACCTGATTATGTAACATTTTTAGTATATTGCTGTACTTTCTTTTAATAATATGTTATTTAAAAATTTGGGGTTGATATTCCTTAGGAATATTGTTTGTTTTCTGTTTCATATCTCTTTGACTTAGGTACCAGGATCATATTTGCATCATAAAGAATTTGATAGCATACTTTCTTTTCCTGTGTTTGCATGTAGTTTATATAATTTCCAAATTAATTTTTTGAATGTTTGATAGAATTATTTGTAAATACAAATTAGATTTTTCCCCCTCTTACTTTCCTATAAGTTAAGATAGATTTCTGTGCCCAACTGAGTGTATATATTATTCCCTCTTTGAGCCATTTCTGATAAGAGCAAGGTTTATGTGCTTCTCCTCCTCCCCCACCCCTGGCCTTGCCTATTTCCCCCATCTTCCCTTCACTGTAACAGCTCTTTCTCACCT